GCATGTATATTTTGTAAGGAATAGAGAAATCCGGCATGTGTTCACACCAATTAAACAGTTTCATTGAGCAACAATCCCATCAGGACAGGACCATATATTGGCAAAATTCCATGAAATCATATCTAAACAAGTTAGAGGATGGGACACTTTGAAGAATGTTCTTTGTTACTTCAGTATGAATTTTTGCCACTCTGAAACCCATTCAACTTGGGATGAAAGAGAAGCACAGCATTAAAATGTGTCTTGTGGATCGCCTTTCGATAATTTCAAGCTCCACCTCCCCATGCATTTCAGAGACGATACAAACAGCATGAGGTAAACTCAATTCATGATTTAAGCACCCCTAAAGCTATATTTATAACATATGCCGAGGACTTTGAAACTCTTGTCCACAGTGGCCAGTTATACAGCAGGTCTAATGCTTTTGTTATGCTTATTATAAAGAAACCATGCTACTAATTTAATGACCAGAAGTTATCCAAATTGGAACTGGTGAGTGCAAAATAAATTGTAGGTCTATTATTGTGGTTTGGAGAAGTGCAAAATAATCTATCTTGGTTTTACAGTTCCATAGGGCAGATTAAAAACCCATATGCCTAATTTCTAAGTCCCAGTGTCTATTCTGCTTTCTATTTTATTTTGTATGTAACAAGTAGAAAGTCACTGATTACCTGCACTAGAATAGGTACCCCAAATGTGTGAGAAGGCTAAAAGGCTTGTTTGAAAAATACACCTATTTCATTTTATTTTAGAACAAACGATCACTATATGCATGTATCCCAGAAGATTATAAAAACGCATGGCGTAAATTGCCTTGTTAGCGCAGTAGGTAGCGCGTCAGTCTCATAATCTGAAGGTCGAGAGTTAGATCCTCACACAGGGCATGTATATTTTGTAAGCAATAGAGAAATCCGGCATGTGTTCACACCAATTAAACAGTTTAATTGAGCAACAATCCCATCAGGACAGGACCATATATTGGCAAAATTCCATGAAATCATATCTAGACAAGTTAGAGAATGGGACACTTTGAAGAATGTTCTTTGTTACTTCAGTATGAATTTTTGCCATTCTGAAACCCATTCAACTTGGGATGAAAGAGAAGCACAGCATTAAAATGTGTCTTGTGGATCGCCTTTCGATAATTTCAAGCTCCACCTCCCCATGCATTTCAGAGACGATACAAACAGCATGAGGTAAACTCAATTCATGATTTAAGCACCCCTAAAGCTATATTTATAACATATGCCGAGGACATTGAAACTCTTGTCCACAGTGGCCAGTTATACAGCAGGTCTAATGCTTTTGTTATGCTTATTATAAAGAAACCATGCTACTAATGTAATGACCAGAAGTTATCCAAATTGGAACTGGTGAGTGCAAAATGAATTGTAGGTCTATTATTGTGGTTTGGAGAAGTGCAAAATAATCTATCTTGGTTTTACAGTTCCATAGGGCAGATTAAAAACCCATATGCCTAATTTCTAAGTCCCTGTGTCTATTCTGTTTTCTATTTTATTTTGTATGTAACAAGTAGAAAGTCACTGATTACCTGCACTAGAATAGGTACCCCAAATGTGTGAGAAGGCTAAAAGTCTTGTTTGAAAAATACACCTATTTCATTTTATTTTAGAACAAACGTTCACTATATGCATGTATGCCAGAACTATAATAACACATTGCGTATATTGCCTTATTAGCGCAGTAGGTAGCGCGTCAGTCTCATAATCTGAAGGTCGTGAGTTCGATCCTCACACAGGGCATGTATATTTTGTAAGGAATAGAGAAATCCGGCATGTGTTCACACCAATTAAACAGTTTCATTGAGCAACAATCCCATCAGGACAGGACCATATATTGGCAAAATTCCATGAAATCATATCTAAACAAATTAGAGGATGGGACACTTTGAAGAATGTTCTTTGTTACTTCAGTATGAATTTTTGCCACTCTGAAACCCATTCAACTTGGGATGAAAGAGAAGCACAGCATTAAAATGTGTCTTGGGGATCGCCTTTCGATAATTTCAGCCTCCACCTACCCATGCATTTCAGAGAGGATACAAACAGCATGAGGTAAACTCAATTCATGATTTAAGCACCCCTAAAGCTATGTTTATAACATATGCCGAGGACTGTGAAACTCTTGTCCACAGTGGCTTGGATTATGGATCTAATGCTTTTGTTATGCTTATTATAAAGAAACCATGCTACTAATGTAATGACCAGAAGTTATCAATTGGAACTAGTGAGTGCAAAAATAAATTGTGGGGTCTATTATTGGTTTGGAGAAATAATCTATCTTGGTATTACAGTTCCATAGGGCAGATTAAAAACCCATATGCCTAATTTCTAAGTCCCTGTGTCTATTCTGTTTTCCATTTTATTTTGTATGTAACAAGTAGAAAGTCACTGATTACCTGCACTAGAATAGGTACCCCAAATGTGTGAGAAGGCTAAAAGGCTTGTTTGAAAAATACACCTATTTCTTTTTATTTTAGAACAAACGTTCACTATATGCATGTATCCCAGAAGACTATAAAAACACATTGCGTAAATTGCCTTAATAGCGCAGTAGGTAGCGCGTCAGTCTCATAATCTGAAGGTCGTGAGTTCGATCCTCACACAGGGCATGTATATTTTGTAAGGAATAGAGAAATCCGGCATGTGTTCACACCAATTAAACAGTTTCATTGAGCAACAATCCCATCAGGACAGGACCATATATTGGCAAATTTCCATGAAATCATATCTAAACAAGTTAGAGGATGGGACACTTTGAAGAATGTTCTTTGTTACTTCAGTATGAATTTTTGGAACTCTGAAACCCATTCAACTTGGGATGAAAGAGAAGCACAGCATTAAAATGTGTCTTGGGGATCGCCTTTCGATAATTTCAGCCTCCACCTCCCCATGCATTTCAGAGAGGATACAAACAGCATGAGGTAAACTCAATTCATGATTTAAGCGCCGCTAAAGCTATGTTTATAACATATGCTGAGGACTTTGAAACTCTTGTCCACAGTGGCCAGTTATACAGCAGGTCAAATGCTTTTGTTATGCTTATTATAAAGAAACCATGCTACTAATGTAATGAGCAGAAGTAATCCAAATTGGAACTGGTGAGCGCAAAATAAATTGTAGGTCTATCATTGTGGTTTGGAGAAGTGCAAAATAATCTATCTTGGTTTTACAGTTCCATAGGGCAGATTAAAAACCCATATGCCTAATTTCTAAGTCCCTGTGTCTATTCTGTTTTCTATTTTATTTTGTCTGTAACAACTAGAAAATCACTGATTACCAGCATTAGAATAGGTACCCCAAATGTGTGAGAAGGCTAAAAGGCTTGTTTGAAAAATACACCTATTTCATTTTATTTTAGAACAAACATTCACTATATGCATGTATCCCAGAAGATTATAAAAACACATGGTGTAAATTGCCTTATTAGCGCAGTAGGTAGCGCGTCAGTCTCATAATCTGAAGGTCGTGAGTTCGATCCTCACACAGGGCATGTATATTTTGTAAGGAATAGAGAAATCCGGCATGTGTTCACACCAATTAAACAGTTTCTTTGAGCAACAATCCCATCAGGACAGGACCATATATTGGCAAAATTCCATGAAATCATATCTAGACAAGTTAGAGGATGGGACACTTTGAAGAATGTTCTTTGTTACTTCAGTATGAATTTTTGCCACTCTGAAACCCATTCAACTTGGGATGAAAGAGAAGCACAGCATTAAAATGTGTCTTGGGGATCGCCTTTCGATAATTTCAGCCTCCACCTCCCCATGCATTTCAGAGAGGATACAAACAGCATGAGGTAAACTCAATTCATGATTTAAGCACCCCTAAAGCTATGTTTATAACATATGCCGAGGACTTTGAAACTCTTGTCCACAGTGGCCAGTTATACAGCAGGTCTAATGCTTTTGTTATGCTTATTATAAAGAAACCATGCTACTAATGTAATGACCAGAAGTAATCCAAATTGGAACTGGTGAGTGCAAAATAAATTGTAGGTCTATTATTGTGGTTTGGAGAAGTGCAAAATAATGTGAAGATTATCTATCTTCGTTTTACATTTCCATAGGGCAGATTAAAAACCAATATGCCTAATTTCTAAGTCCCTGTGTCTATTCTGCTGTCTATTTTTCTTTTGTCTGTAACAAGTAGTATGACAGTGATTAAGTGCACTAAAATAGGTACCCCAAATGTGTGAGAAGGCTAAAAGGCTTGTTTGGAATATACACCCATTTCATTTTATTTTAGAACAAACGTTCACTATATGCATGTATCCCTTCAGGACAGGACCATATATTGGCAAAATTCTATGAAATCAAATCTAGACAAGTTAGAGGATGGGACACTTTGAAGAATATTCTTTGTTACTTCAGCATGAATTTGTGCCACTCTGAAACCCATTCAACTTGGGATGAAAGAGAAGCTCAGCATCAAAATGTGTCTTGGGGATCGCCTTTCGATAATTTCAGCCTCCACCTCCCCATGCATTTCAGAGACGATACAAACAGCACACAATGTCAGGATTTGTGAACACTAGCTTTTTATCACCTGCATGTTCTTTGGTCAGGTAAGTTCTGCTGACCACCCATCTTGAGTAAGGCTAAGCCAGGATACACACTTAATAGAGATACTTACTTATATCTATGTTTTACATGAGACTGAAATCCATGTAATGCTATCTTTCAAAGTATGAAAACACATTACAGTGGTTTTTTTTAAGATAGGTTGTTTTTTTATATGCACCAGAGAACATCTAAAGAAAATGCTTATTATGTATGATGTGAATCATAAAATAATTGTATTAACAATACCTAAGGAACTACCTTTTCTAAAAGAGCAGGTGGCTTTCAGTTGTACCCCATGCATGAAAGAGTTACAATGCATATATAATATATAATAGAGAAGAAGAGAATAGCAGGGATAAGTTTAAAATCTTATTTATTTTATAATACAGTTTTGGTATAATCATTCTAGCACCATATAAAAGTTTTTTTTGTTTTATTTATAAAAAATAAACAACAACCAAAAAGTATTTACCTTTTTGTTTTGGTCAGTGATCAGTAGGCACATTTGAAACACAGTATAAGAAGAAACAAAACATGTGAGAGAGCTATGGTTTATCATGCAATTGTAGACTCAATGTGACACTCACTGGCAAGATTAATGGGCCACTGCAGAGTCTCCCAAACTAGCACAAGATATCCTCTGAGAGTCCTTATAGAATAAGGATTTTAAAAATATTTTTGAACATGCTATTTGTAAATACAAATGTTAAATGATTCTTCAGGCCTTGAATTGACATTAACTGGGGTTCAGAGGTCAATGTACAAGGGGGAAACTGCAAGTACGCGTATTCCAGATATAATAATAGTTCGTTTTTTTGGTATTGATAATTGGAGTCCTTATCTGATGGTAAACCTAACAAATTCATTGAATACCGCAAGCCTTCTTGCGCTAACGGTGGTGGAATACCTTCCCGACATCTCTTCACTTAATAATTTTACTAAAGACTACCAATTTAAATGGTGATTTTCACAGTAGATAAATGTTACTAAATAAATAAAATGGTTTTGACCAATATAAATTTAGAAATCTGAATAGTTCTTAAAAAATGACTTTACCCCAGCACACCACAAAAATTTGCCTTGACGAGACATTCACTCTTTCATAAGATGTTTCTTTCTAGTCTGTGAATGTAACATATATTCAACTACATTTTCAGCACCAATTTGACATTAATTACATATCCGTTTGTCTTTTTTGGAGATTACCGACTCTGGATTTCTATAAGAATTTTTAATCAACATCTAAGGAAAACTAGTATTTTTTTGCAATGTTTTTCGCCTCGAAGTTTTATATGTGGATACAAAGCAATGCAATAAACAAGAGAAAATCTGTATTTTTTTAATAAAACTGATTTCAGCTATTGGTCACTAGTGATGTCCCGAACGGTTCGCCGAACGGTTCGCAAATGGTTCGCCACGGACTCATCATTGAGTAAACTTTGACCCTGTACCTCAAAGTCAGCAGACACATTCCAGCCAATCAGCAGCAGACCCTCCCTCCCAGACCCTGCCACCTCCTGCACAGCTCACTAAGAATGCAGCTTCACAATGAATGTAAAATGGATGCTGTCCAGGAGGTGGGAGGGTCTGGGAGGGAGGGTCTGCTGCTGATTGGCTGGAATGTGTCTGCTGACTGTGTGGTACAGGGTCAAAGTTTACTCAATGATGAGTCCGCGGCGAACCGTTCGTGGCGAACCATTCGCGAACCTTTCAGGACATCACTATTGGTCACATGTTGTGCAATATTGATGCCACATGGATACTCTGGGACCTTATATCCTTACAGGAAATAACTCTGTCAGCTAAACATGTGCAGTTTCATTTACTAACTGTATTAAATAACTTGTGTGAATTTGACAATCAAATTGCTGCATTTATTTGTAAAATTTGAAAAAAGAAAAAAGAGCCCATCTAATAATTTGGTCTAAATCTTATTAACGCCATTGCCACCTCCCCAAAACGTTATTTTTAGTTTCCATGCAGTGGAATTTCATTTTTGATAAACAAATATATCTTACTTTTTTTCAAATGTACAAAAGGGAAAAACTACATTAAGAGAAAGAAAATACCTAAAAGACTGATCTGGAAAAAGTAGTAAAACAGATAAAGTGTATCCCCCTAAAAGCTTAAATTACCATTTGGAATTGTGTCTGATCTGCTACCAGTGCATATGTGTTATGTCTTTTAGTTGTTATATACATATATATAATTATGTTTTACAATATGTAAGGCTAGGTTTATATCCCAGGTAATCCCTTGTACAAAAATTCTACAGACATCTCCTGCCTTCTCAAAATAAAGAAAATAAATTTGAGGCAAATGCTGGGAAGTGGTAAGACACTTAACCACTTAAGGATGCAACTTCTGAAATAAAAGGGAATCATGGCGTCTTTAACCCCTTAAGGACACATGACATGTGTGACATGTCATTATTCCCTTTTATTCCATAAGTTTGGTCTTTAAGGGGTTAATGGGTTAATCCAGAGTATTTTATTGAAAAACAAGTATTGTCCCCACAGCTGAGTTTTTTGAACTGTTACCCTCCCAGCGTTCAGTAGTACATCTATTTAGTGTTGGATTCTATAAGCAGAGGAAGGGTACTGAATATGACCTTTCTCTTTACCGGAGGAATTGCTATTGAATAAAGAGAGTCAAACCTTACTCTGCTAAAAAAAATCCTGCACTGAGTGTTTCAAAAATGGTTTGCCCCATTTATTTTTGTTTGGAATTATGTCTCAGAATAAAGACATTACTACTGGCAACTACAAGTCTGGATTCCAGAGTGAAGCAAAGTGTCAGGCGAATAAAGTCCAGACAGATGACAGATCATGACACAGCATAGACATTTCCAGATCCTAAAAAGATCACTTTAAACCTGCAATGGATTCATGGGGAATTCTACTATTGACACAACAAACACTCAAAATCAATAAACTTTTACATAAAGCACCTACATTCTCTGTTGCTCAAAAAGGCTTGAAAATGATTTGCATTTTTTTCCAATTTGCATTATTCTTCGAACTAAATGGGGTTTAATGTCTCCAGAGTAAACAATGGACCTTAGGGATCTGTGTATTAAAGCAAAGCATTGCCATCCAATGAAGTGAAATAAATATGTATTTCTCGTGTCATATTATTACCCAAGGAACAGGCTTGTTTCCTAATTTGGAGAGTTAAATTATGTTTGAAGGAACCTATGGTATGTACTATTGGAAGAAGGTAGATGGTGCTATAGGAGGAATTTTGGAGAACATGAATAAAGGCAGCAAAACATTACATCATTTGCCTTAATACACAGAGCCGAAATATCAGTTTAATAGAGTCAGAGAAGCTATACACATTGCATAGACAGTACATTTAGTATATAAGTTAACATAGTTAGCACCACTGCTCTCTTAAGAAAATAGAGGCATCTCCGAAGATAGAAAAGGTGTCACTAACTTATTAACCCTATATAAATCAGGGTCCCAATTACAGACACAAAATGCATGTTTAATATTCAAACATGACAGGTGAGGGGGTAGAGACAGTGTTCAGTATATCATTGACAATGGTCTGAGTCAGAGCAATCTATTTCAAGATGTTCCATATGTGAGGAGGCCCATTAAAAATAGGCCTGAATGACCATAATGCTCCAGTGCAAAACTATGAACTCATTCGGAGACTGGGGAATATCTATATACAGTTAAGAAACAACCATGTGTCACATTTTTCTTATTAACTGTACAGTGACCATCATTGTGCTCTTTCTCTCACCAAATATTGTAGAACAATGTTGGTGGTTATTTGGCCCCATCCTTTTGTAATGAAACACAAGGGTCAGCCTTTTTCTGGAAACACAAATCTAGAATCCCCCGTAGTTGACAAAAAAACAATAAAAAATAAAAAAAGATAAAAAAAAAAAAAAAAAAAAGAGAGAGAAAACCGTATAGTTAAATCGTTGTCATTGGTAACAAGTGGACATTTCTGAGTTTTTGGCTGTGAAACTCAAGTTGTTGTTTTTTTTGTATTTCTTCAATAATAAGATGTATCTTCTTAATGTCAGTTTTAGTCTCTTTTACTCTTAACCATTGAAGCAAACAGGCCCCAGCTGAAAGCCAAATTTTTGGTTGTTGTCTCCAAAGTCAATGATAGCCACATCCCTGAGAGGAAGATGTTCCACTTTGAAAGTGTTCACCTCCAGCACTGTTTGTTCTACACCTTTACGAAGCTGTTGGATTGGATGGAAAAAAAGAAACATAAGTTGGGAACTGGATTGGTGGTAAGATGTAGATACAACAAATTATTCAATGAGAAGCTTGACTATTAAGCAACAAATGTTCTTTGCTTTTTAGTCTTAGTCATGGCCTACAGTCACACCATATTTTAACATTGCTTTTCCTCAACTATCCTCAAACTATATTTTTATGTTCTTTTGCTTAATTTTTACTCTTCTTTTCTATTCCTGACTGCAACACGTTGATAACATTGTAATTTTTGCTCTTAATTTAATTCCCTTTGTGACGGAGCTCCGGTACTCTGATTGAGTACTTAAGCCAAAGTTCCCTATCCCAGGAAAACAATCCCCAGAAGTGATTATAACCTTTCCATAAACGGTGCCGTAAAGTATGAACACAAAAAACATGAGTTTCCCGACATGTAGATATAACAAGTTATACATCCCCAGACAGGAATATTTCCCATAAAAAAACTGTCAAAAAAACCTGTTTTTTAATACTTTTCCACAACCGACATTTAAATACAATAATATCTGGAATTTAGAAATGAGCATGGATCTCCCCGGGAACTTTGCTGATCTGCTAATATAGAGTTCTACACCCTCTTCTTTATTCTGGACTAGGAGAGGTAGGTCCTGCCGAACATTAACAGAGTAGTGGAGGAAGACGAGGCTAGAATCATCTCCCCCAATGCCTACAGAACAATGTTCTGCCTGAGAGGCAGATCTAGCTCATTCTAGGTACACACTTGGGAACAACCTACTGAAATAGACTGATCAGATGAAAATATAATGTATTTTAAATTGCTGACACCCTGATGACATGCAGAGAAATCCATGACACATTCCTTACCTGGCACCCATCATATGTTGCCCTGAGTTGGGGTGTACGGCTCTGTGAAAGTTCCTCCTCATTGTCAGCACGGAACTTAAGTGCCCGGTTGTAGTTCCTCTGGGAAATATCATACCATGCAGCAGATTGCTGACAATTATAGGTAAAGTTTTGTCGACCTGTGGCACTTAAAAGTTTGAGAAAGGTCATCTGGACTATATGAACTGGATTTCCATCTGCATCTATGTACTGGAACTGCGAAAAATGAACAGAAAACAGTGTTACATTAACAGTTATTTTTTATTTCATTAAGTGCAAGAATATTTCAAAGTTCTGCAATATGGAATTTTATGCAACCCACTACTAAACACGTGGCAGACAGTTATTTTGTGAAAAAGTGGCATACTCGTTCAAGACAAAATAAAAATTTCATTTTTTTTTTTAGTCTTTACAGTTTACAGAAAACATGTGAAAAAAAAATCCGTAAAATGACAAAATAAAACAGACATTTATTTTGCTCCAAATTCAATACCTAATAGCTTTTTTTTTTTTATTAACTGAACCTGTTCAGAATATGAAAACAAAATAAAAATAAATAAATAAATAAATAAAATAAGTTTACCTTTTTGCCTCGTTTAAATGAGCTGTACCATTCTCCGGGGATTTCTTTGTTCCATGCTGCCACTTTCACCTTGATATAAAAATGTTTAATGATATTTATTTTGTATTTATCTGTAGAAAAGTTATGCAGCAAAGTACTGTATCCTTACATAAAATAATAATAAAAACAAAAACAAAAATTTTCTGTGACAAACCATGAAATTCATGTTTTCTGTATTGTGTTAACCTTACTTATACGGTATACTAGTTGCATGTTGTTACAATTATACTGACCGACTCAAACTTTTTGTCTGGTAAGAGGCATGTTTCTCCCCCTGCAGTGAAATTGCAGAACACTTTGAATGCATCTCTGTTGCATCCTTGGTTTGGATCAATCCAATATTCACCTTAAAAATGAACAGATTAATATTAAAATAACTTGCTTGCATATAACTTCTCCCTATAGCTTCTATTACTCCATATAACCTCACCCTATAACACCTCCTATTACTCCATATAACCTTTCCCTATAACTTCTCCTATTACTTCATATAACCTCTCCCTATAACTCCTCCTATTACTCCATATAACCTCTCCATATAACTCCTCCTATTACTCCATATAACCTCTCCTTATAACTCCTCCTATTACTCCCTATAACCTCTTCCTATGACTCCTCCTATTACTCCATATAACCTCTCCCTATAACTCCTCCTATTACTCCCTATAACCTCTCTCTATAACTCCTCCTATTATTCCATATAACCTCTCTATAACTCCTCCTATTACTCCATATAACCTCTATAACTCCTCCTATTACTCCATA